CCCGGGGCATAGCTAGGGCCAGCTTCCTGGAAATACCAGGGACGTAAGGCCGAAAAGGTGCCAGCATGGTTTCCAGTGAGTGCAATGGCATCCGGACTGGCGCCCCAAATAGCGGGCCGACTCTAGATTAATCCTTTCCCTGAGCTGACCTGAGTCGTGCCAGTGGACGAAATCCTGTGTGGGGCCCAAGCGCTCTCTCCCTGGGGGCGGGCCCAGGGCGGAGCCCGGGTCCTCCAGGCAGGTGCAGGGGGCGGGGCCCGGCCCTGCCCCCGGGGGCCGTTCTTGGAGGCCAGGGGCGGGTCAGAGAAGCGGTCAGTACGGGCGACGCCCTGGAACCAGCGGGCAGCGACTGCGGCCACAGGTGCCTCGCAGGGCATCGTGTCCCCGCTGTGGGCATCAAAACTCCGGCTCTAGGAACTCAGACTTCCGAGCTGTCCCCATCTCTGGACACCGCCCAGGCCTCCGGGCCGGAGAGCGGAACCCTGGGGTCGTCCGAAGAGTGGGGCCCAGAGCCCCCGGTGTCAGACATCGAAGTCCCTGGGCCTGTCTCAGGACAGGACACAGAGGTCGCTAGGCCAGGCGCAGAGCGGGGCGCAGAGACCCTCGATCAAGAGAGCGAAATCCTCTGGCCATCAGTGGGACAGCACTCAGAGCGCCCCGGGCCGTGCACACCTGGGAGCTTTGAGAGTCTTGGGTCAGCCAGGGACGACTCCGAGCCATTCGAAGGGAGAAACGCCGGGGTCCCGAGGCAGTGTCTACCTCAGGGTCCCGAGACTTCCTCCTTTGGGTCAGATTCGGAAGCCCCCCAGCAGCGTTTTCCATTGTGCCTTGAGACTCCCCAACAGCGCCCTGAGGAGCCGCTCATGGAGACACCCATCGAGCGCGAAATCCGCCGCAGCTGCGAACGCGAGGAGAGCCTGCGCCGGAGCAGGGGCCTGAGTCCAGGCCGCGCGGGCCGCGAACTTGTCGAGCTGCGCGTGCGGCCAGTGCTCAGCCTGCCCAGTTCCGGCCCCGCGCTCCCGCGCGCCTTAGAGCGCGCGCGGGCAGGCGCGCAGATGCAGCGAGACATCGAGCGGGAGGCCCACCGGCGGGCGGCGCGGGCGCGCCCCGCAACCCCGGAGCCGCTCGCCCCGCTGCCGCCGCAGCCGCTGGGTGAGCTCAAACGCTTCTTCGAGGCTGCGGGCGGGTGCGGTTCCTCGCCGGTGGCGGAGGGCGGCGGAGGGCCGCAGTGGCTGCCCGAACGCGGAAGCCAGCCTCGCTCTGCCGTGAAGGGCCGGTGTCCGGTGCTGGCCCGCGCTCCGCGGCCCATCGCGCCGTCACTGCTCGAGCAGGAGGTGCGCGAAGCGCAAGAGCGCGAGCGGGAGCTGCAGCGCCAGAGGCTCAGCGTCTACGGCACCGCCGAGTTCAAGGACCCCGCGCCGAGCCTCACGGGTAAGCCACGGGCATCCGGACGTCAGGGCCCCTCAGAGCTCCAACCGCCCTCACCAACTACCCAACTCCAGTGGTCCCTCTTCTGGCCCTCTGGGAATTTTCCCCTGGCTCCCAGACACCTGGGACCCCCTCTCAACTTTCCGTCCCCTTCTGGGCTGCCCACTCTCTATGCTCCACCCCTCCCGCCCCCCACTCGGAGTGGTCAATTCCTGGATCCATCCCACCTAGGCTTGTGGTGGGGGAAGGGAGGAAGATTCCAGATGTCTTTCTCTTTGTCGGGTCCCAGGGAACCCTGTCTGGATTCTGCCACTCCTGGATCGTCCTGAATTTTCGGGTTCCTACCTCCGTACTCTGTTTGCTTCCCACCTGCGTCAGAATGGAGGGCTTCCAGCGGGAGGAGGGAGGTGAACGCCTGTATGTATTTAAGGGGCGCGGCCGGCTTCCTTTATCCTGGCCGACTCCAGCTGGTGAGAGGAGGAGCCCTGGCTGAGTGTCCCTTTACCCGCAGCGATCAGGGGCGACGGAAAGCTGGCAGTGATCTGGCCTCCCCGCAGAAAGGCCTCCGAGAACGGCCTGGAGCAGGTGGGAGCCTCTTTCCCCTCGTGCCTCAGGAGCTTGTCACTACCCGCCCCCCAAAACACATACACCCGACCCTTGCGGCGCCAGGCCGCTGGGTCGGGGAAAGTGCATCCCTGCGCCCCCTGGGAAATCACTGTGGGCTAGTACAAAAAGTCCCGGACGCAGTCCAGGGGTGACAAGGAGGCTGTGTTCTGGGGCCCAAACTGTCACACCCTTTGTTTGGTTGTCCCGACTGGCCCCCTCTTCCCAGGAGCGGAAGCCTTGAGGTTGGAGCAGGCTGAGACCCCCGACCAGAAGTAACATGAGCGTCAGAGGACCGGGCAGGGACGCCCAGGAATCAACCGAAGTCAACTGGATCAACTGAAGGCCTAGAGAGGGGCTAGCCATCTGCGCACGGGACCAGCCCATCCTTAAACTTGACTTTGTGAAATTGACCAGTCTCTTCTCTAAAACTTATTCCCCATTGGGAAACACCACCACAACTCCCCGGCCAGTGAAACTGACCAGTCCTTCTCCGCCTAACTGCAAACCCGGCAAGCCTCTCCCTCTGGCCTTGACTGTTAGAGGACCAGGGTCACCGCTCGGCTCTCCCCCCTCCCTAATAAAATCCCTTCTTTCTGGTCAGTGCAGGCTGTTTTCTTCTGGGTTCTCTTGTTCTGGGGTGGGGCACGAGCGCGGTAAGCAGAAGAGAAAGCCGCAAGAGGCGCCGGCGGTTATGTGGAATGTGCCCTAACGCTCTGTTTTGGTAGTGCCAGTCTTCCCCAGGACCCGCCCAGGTCTTAATGCCCCCTGGCGGCGCAGGTGCTAACTGCGCCGTTCCGACCAATGAGCTCACGCCTCCCTTTCCAGACTTAGTCAACATTTATTGGTGCCAACCGCGTGCCCCGCGCTGGGCGCTGGCTAGACAGAGGTGATAAGAGGTTTTTCCTGCCCTGGGGTTGTAAACAATAGCTACCAAAAAAAAAAAAAAAATACAACTCCTTAGTAGGACATATAAGGCCATTTATAATCTGCCCGGGCGATTGCAAACCTCGCATGTTTACGGCACCAGGCAGATATTAAGGAGAGAGATGGGGTGTGCTTAAAAACAAATGCTTCATTTAAACGGGCAAGTAAGTGTTCCTCCGTATCAGCAGTACTACCACTGAGTGTTAAGTGGTGCCAGAGCTTCTCCTTTCCAAAAGCAGCTGGAAACCCAGCCTTTAAAAGAAATCTACTAAACTTTGTGACTAGAAAACTTTTTAAATTGGGGAAGGATGTAGGAGGTAACAAGGAATGCCTGTTTGCAATAGGGCTTGTGGCTGTCAACTGGCAAGCCCTCCTCAATTTCTGTTCCAAGACAAGGTGTTCAAGAGGTCCTGTGAACACTCCAAGTTGTAAAGCTATCTGTGCAGTTATATTCTGTGGTTTTAGTGTACTGGCTTCTTAGAGGTGCAATAGAAAAGGTTGAGACCCAGGAAGCATTTTAAAATCCCTCTTTAAACTCCTGGATTTGTCCAACTCTACACCCTGGATCTAGCAATAGGCTTGCACAGGGACAACAGATGGCTAATGAAGGATGAATGCTCACACAGCATTGCACCCCCAGAGCAGCTCAGCCCAAGGACCCATGCCCTAACCCCATCATCAGCACATTAACACATGCTTGACTGTGACTCTGGATGGTCTGGAGAGAAAGGCAGGAGTCAGCACTGCCAAGGTGGAAATGGAAATACCCAGAGCCTGTTCTTAATTCCCAGTAAGGCAGCTAAGAATTAAGCATTTAAAAAGTTGACAGGATGGCTTAAGTTTAGAACTGAGCTCTTGAACTTTCCAAGTTAAAATCACCTGAGGCACTCTTATGACAAGTCAGAATCCAAGGGAGGCCTTGGCATTGGTAAAGCTGCCCGGGTGCTTCCAACATGGAGCCAAGTTTGACAGCCATGACGTAAAGGCTACTAGTGTTTTCAAGTGTGTTGCCTGGACCAGCAGCACTGGCATTGCTTGGCAACTTGTTAGAAATGCACATTCTTGGACCCTATCTCAGCATGCTAAAGTTGGAAAATCACAGGTGTAAACAGTTCCCCAGCAACCAGACCCAGGAAATCAAGCCCGTTTCCTTCCTCTCCCAGTACTGCCATCCCCTACTAGGAATTTTTAGTCTTAAGTGGCCTGTGGATTTGTCTTAAGGGAGGCAGTTTAAAGCTGCCTGTTGCTTGCCTCCTTAGCGCGGTAGGCAGCGCATCAGTCTCATAAAGCTGCCTGTTGCCAGTCCAAATTGAGATGTGCTGTAAGTGCAAAATACACACCAGATTTCAAAGGCTTAGTATCAAAAAAGAAAAAAAAGGAAATCTCAATTTCTTACATTATGTTGAATTTTTAGATATATTGAGTTAAATAAAAATATCACTAAAATGAGTCTGACCTCTTTTAAATGTGGCTACTAGAAAATCTGAAATTACACATGACTCACATTTGTTCCTCACTTTATATTTCTATTGAACCGGGCTAGTCTTACGGAGTTTTACGGCTGGTAGAAATCTCACAGGGACTACCTCAGATCAGTATTAGGGAGCTCCAGACCCGGGCTGTGGCCTAAAAAATCCTTGTAGTCAGAAACTGTCACCAAAAGCCCCCTCCCCACAAGAATTAGGGTTTTGGTTTCCAATCCTGATTTACTCCATCTCTCACGTTTTTGTCATCTGTAAACTGGGGATTATGCCAATGCTATATGCCAGGGACTGCTAGGTAAGCGACTACTTTGCTCAAAATCATAAAAACTAGGTCTCTTCTACAATTCTAAAAATGCCTGAGGTGGGTGGGACAAGCAAAAGACGTCCCTTAAAGGGCGTTAACATGCAGCTGAGTGTCGCTGGGTCAGGGACACCCCTCCCAAGGGACCAGTAACGATCTGAAGGACCCAGCTCAGGTCCAGACTCTGCAGCTTACTCGCCATAGCTTTGGACAGGTGAGTTCACCTCACTCAATCCGAGTCTCCTCTCCAGTCCAAGATTGGAGTGAGGCTTTAGAGATCCCAAGTTGTAGTTCTTTGCGGCTCCTCCACCCCGCCTGTGTCCCGGACACCCCGCGGGGCACGGAGACCTGCTCGCTTCTGGCCCCAAACGCTGGAAGAGGAAGATCTAACCTCCGCCCTTAGGAAATTGATTGCGGGCCCTTTCCTGGGGCACGTCGGGAAATAAGGTCTTTTACAGTACAAAAAAACAACTTCCGGGTCAAAATATGCAAGTGGGCGTGGCCCTGGGGGGGTTCCCTTCACCACAGCCAGCGGACGTTGAATTTCCCGGCTACCCAAAACTTGCGGTTTTCTGGGTTCCGGTTGTTGACAGGCACCACTACTTCCCTTTTTGCTTCATGTACCCTTCTGCGCATGCCCAGAACTCTCGTTCGCCGGTCCGTGGACCACGGTTTTCTTTTCAAAGACTACATTTCCCAAAAGACCGCGCGAGTGGGCGGGGCTTCTTTGCCCCAAGGGGTGGGGCGCGGCACTCCAAGCGGACGCTGAGTCGGTGACCTCTTTTCTTTCTTTTATTTAACACTAAACTGGTGCGTCCGCGTGCGGGGCTCCACGGCCCGGCCGAACTCGGTGCAGCGGACTGGCCAGTTCGGCATGGCCCCTTGGAAGGTGAGGCCGAGTTGCACTTGGAGAACGAGCGAGCCCTACCTGTGCCGGCTCTCCGGGAGTTTGGAACTGTCAAGCTCCATCTCCCACCCTCTTTCCAGGTTCAAGACCCCTGCGCTGCCCACGCCGCGGGGCCGACCGCGCTCGGGGGCCTGGCCGGGCCTGTCTGGCCAGTGAGGATCTGCACCAGCAGGTCGGTGGCCAGCATGTGTGACGGCTCCTCGAAGCCAATGGTCAGCAGCTGCTGGTAGTCCCCAGGCGGCTGCGGGCACAAAATCCTGGGGGCCGGGGACAGACAGGCCTGGACGTGAGCGCCCCCTGCGTCTCCGGAGCCCCTCCCCTCGAATAAGAGGCTGTAGCTGAAAGAGGCTTTGTTTCAGCTGGGGGTGGGAAAACCCCTGGGGGAAAGTGGTTTCCTTGTTGATGAGAAACCTAGACGGTAATGGCTCTGGGAAGCTGAACATCTTAGCCCTGACCTGGCCAATTACTCGGCTAGCTGTGTGTCCTTGGCCAGGTAGCTTAACCTCTCTGAGTACCTGTTTCCCTTCTTTGTAGAATGGGGCTAGTGATATAGACCTCAATGAGTTGTTACATGAGTCTGCATAAAGCAGTTTTCAGGGCACAATAAAATGCTATCGTTATTACCAAGAGAAACAGTGTTGGGGAAGGTAGATGGTCTTTGGTGGGGTTCTGCCCCTCCCTGCAGAGCCCAGGCCCATCTTGCCATCACCCTAGCTCCTACCAGGAATAAAGGTCATCCTCTGCTGGTCCTAGGGGCACCCATCTGCCGATGGACCACAGCTTCTGAATCTGAGGGCACGAATTGGCTGGACTCTTGCCTGTGTCTTCCCATGTATCTCGATAGCACAGGAAGTAGCTGTGAGGGGAAAGGGGCAGCAATTAAGAGTGAGTGGTTTCCTAGCTTTTGTTAAGGGCTTTAATTTTGGAGGTGAAGTGCAAACTCATCTGCAGTTGCCTTCAAGTTCGCAGGTAGGGGTGTGACTCAATACTGAGGGCTTTTCTCCCTGCCAGCCTGCTTTTAAGATGAGAACTTTTAATTGGGGGATGAATATTTTTAAAGGTGGGGATGGCCTTTCAAAGGTCCTTGGCTTCCTGCTAGACTTTCCATACTTTAGTAGTGGTGATAATTCAGAGGCTGATATTGGCATTCTGTATAGAGGGGAGGGGGACTTGGATTCTGGTAAGAGGACTCACTAATCCACATGGGAATCTTGCCACCGGCTGCTGGACTCTGGGGTGGTTTCCAGGTTCCAGCGCATCTTCTTATAGAGGTACCGGGGGAAGCGGCTGGCGGTGTAGGCGGCAGGGGCACAGTATCTGAAGATGGACACCTCGTGGGAAGGACTGATGGAGAACCTCCCGCAGAAGAAACAGGAGATGCTGGCAGGAGATGGGAGAGTGAGGAAAGAGGCTGCGTCCTGGACGCTTCCAACCTCCCCCCCGCCCCATTCCAGTCTCCTACACTTTTACCTTAGGGGGTCAGTGTCCTCCAGGTCCACGAACCCAAAGGAGGCATACATGAGTACCAGCTGTTCCAGGCGTAGGGTCAGCTGTTGGGAGATCTCTAACAGCTACATGGAAGAGGGGGCATCATGAGATTAGCTGGCCTGCCAGGAGCACCCCCCCACATCCTCTTGGCCTGAGGGATGAAGGAACATGGGGTCTAAGAAATCAGCCCCACACACCCCCTTTCGGACCAGCTCCTGCAGGGCTCCATAGATGGGGGGCACGCTCCGTGCAGCCGCCTCCAGGTACAGGAAATAGGGCTCACACATCTTTAAGAAGGTGGGCATGGCCTTCGCCAGTTGTTCCTTTTGGACTCGGTCCCTGCTGCAGAGAGAAGGGGACCTTTGTATGGGGTCCCTCATT